TCTTGAACTTCGTAAAATACATTTGGCCCTTTATCACCTAATAAGAAACTTTCCATTCTTTTACGAATAGTTCGATCAATTTTTATTTCAGCAGTTGGGGATGTAATGTAAGTGTAAAAAATTTCAGCTCCTAATTGATGCCAATTAGATTTGTCTGCATTACGTAATTCTTGTACAGCTGCCCAATATCCAATCAAATCTTGACTGGCAACTTGTTCAAGGAATTGTGACAGGTATCGTCTACCTGTTACATTGTCTAAAATATATTGTAATGGAAAGATTGTTTCTTCTGTAATCATTGCTGCATCAGTAACATCATTAGCCTATAAAATTATTTTTAAATATTATTATATACTAAAGTTATTATTATTATGTTTTAAATGAGAATGATTTTATAACCTGAACAGGATATCCATTCCATCCTAATGATTGCATGTGACATTCACATGTATTTTTAGCATATGTCAATTGACTGATGTATCTCTTTAGTTTTCGAGCTTGAATAGCATCAGATTTTCCAAATGCATTATTATCTGGATCTAAACCTTGTGCTCTTTTAATATTTTGTATTGTTGTAGCTTGCATAATTTCAGTAACAATATTATATCTAATATGCTTCAAAACTTCTAAATCTTTAGAGCTTTTAATCATACGAATAAAATCCTCAAATGATTCAGCATATTCATATGTTTTTCTATGCATTGCTTCTGCAAGCTGTTGTTGATCAATATATGATAAAATTTTCTGATTAATATAGTCTGGATTTGTTATTAAATCTATTGCAGGTTTTAAAACTAATAAAAGATATAAAGAATGAAATAAATGTTGTATATATTACAATTATATATATACATACTTACTTTTACACGCAAGAATTTCTCTCAATAAATATTTCATTGGTGCAAGAGAATAACAAGGTGGCAATAAAAGTAAAATGTATAATTCACTAACTTTCTTCAAATAATCTAATTCTGCTGTAGGTGACATTAAATGTGTAGATAAAATAAATACCGGATCATCACCTTGTGCCCTATTTAAATACATTTAACAAAATAGAATTTTTTATATTATTTATATAATATATTATTTAAACAATTGATATTAAAAATTCATACATTACAAAATATTTAGTAAAAATTTTATTAAAAATCATTAACTTTAAATAAAAAAAAAATATAGTTAAACTTACGAAGCAGTTTGAGCAATTCTAATTTTCTCAAAATGAAATGTTATTTTATTCACTATACTACAAACAACTAATTTTGTGTGATCTACTTTTGATAAACGATCATGAAGTGTTTGAATTGCTCCCCATATATCTTGTTTCATGTTATTTATTATTTGTTCAGAATTAAAAGCTAATTCATCAAGCCAAAGACCAACAAAGTCTTGAAATACTAAATCTAGCAAATTTTGCAAAGCTCCATCCACCATACGAGTAAAAACTAATGGATATCTGACATATTTCTTGGTATTTGTTGCTTTAATTACATATCCTTTCTGAAATAATATAAAATAATCGATGATTTTTTGATTAATCAATATCCTTGTAATAATATTATATATTAGTTATAATATATGTAATATTTAATACATTAATACATTTTAAAAATGTTACTTATGTTTTAAAATTAAATTTTTAAATAATAATAATATTAAATATTAATTCAATAAAAAAATATTTAATATATTATGATAATATTAATAATAATAATGAATAATATAAATATTATTTTTGTAAATTCAACAAAAAAATTAGTCAACGAAAAACTGCAAATTTTAATTTTTTAAAAATATTTGTATTTGTAAAATATATTTTTTTCATTCACACAAGAGAATCTCTTTATAAAATATATAAAAAAAATATAAAAATTTATAAAATAATAAAATTGCTTTTTATAAAATTAATATTATAATAATCAGCGAAGAAAATAAAATCTATTATTAAGATTACACTAATTTCTCATTTAATCATAATTTTAATGATAATCTGAATTAAATAAATAAAATATAAATATTAAAAAATGTTATTTTTAATTTTAAATTAACACAAAATGAAAAGATTAAATAAAAATTTATAAATAAATAATATAGAATTTTTGTTAATATTCATTATCTTATCTATATATGTAACTATTTTTATAAAAATTAAAACGAAGACATCTTAATTTTTTGATATATCGAATTTTTTCTCTTAAAATAAGAAATTGAAATTTAAAATTCATAAACAATATCAATAAACAATAATAATAGTCAATATATATTAATAAATAATATCAAAATAATAATACACACCATTAATAAATTATGAAAGGCGTCCATTTCTGCAATTGTTTTCATAGCAGTAGCACCAGTTTGATGTTTTGGAGAAAGAGCAATATTTATAAGCATAACAATTAAACATCCCAAGAAAAAGCAAGATATAGTTAATACGCCAAATACATAACACCATAATAAATTATTCCAATAAAAGAATCCGATTATAGGTAAAATATATAAAATACCAGACCACATCATATTGAATTTTGATTCTAGTTGCATGACAATGAATATTACATCTTCAATTTCATTTTTGTATGATTACATTGTACAAACTATGATAAGATATGTCGAATGCAAAGGTGCGCATTGAGTCAATAATACCGCCATTGCGAATCCATAAACTATATAACGTTAGTTGGAAAAATTAAATTACAAACTTTTTTCAATTTTTAATTTACAATTTGTACGCACAGTGTATAATCATTTTAAATGAATATTTATTAATGTTTATAATTATATTGTATAGTAATATTTATTATTAATTTATCTCTAATTTAAACTTTTATATACTGTATAGTATATATAATCTTCCTATGATATCTGTTTGGTTCTTCCTTTATAATATTTATATATTATTCTTATATATATTTTATCTTTATTAGAATTAAATAAATAATATAATATGCGACGCGATTTTTTATTGAAAAAATATATTTACTTATGAATATTTATAATTTTAATAATCTTTTCTTATTCTTAATCTTCTTTACTCATCCATTAAATTTCATTTGTTTTATGAAATTAAAAATATAAAAAATGAAATACTATTTTTTGATTATATCATATTAGATATCCGAATCATATAAAAAGAAAAAATATTTCTAAATTAAGAAAATTGTTTTGGAAATATTTAATAAAATTTAATTTATTTAATAAAATATTTAATATTTAATAGAATATTTAATATTTAATCTAG